TCAGCTCGGGGATCTGTATGGATGGGCGTGGGGAGAACTCCGCCATTCCAGCGCCACCGAGGATGACCCGCCGCGCAGCCCGACTCTTGCCACCCTCGGCCTCCTCACCGCCCTGGGGCTGCTGCTGGACTCAGGTACCAGGGCTACCAGGGCGGGCTGATGGCCGTTGCGCGTGTGGCCCGGGGGCTCGTTGGGCACCGCCGCCGCGGGGCGGTGCAGCCGCAGCCTCTGCCTGGCCACGTCGGGACTGGGATGGAGGGCGGGTGTTACGCGCTCGGTCGGCGCGGACGCGGGCTGGTGCAGGCTTGTGGACAGAGTTTGCCTGGGCGCGCCCTAGTGCCGGCGTGGGCAGCGTGCGGGTAGCGGCCCTGCGACAGAGCGCCACGTCCCGCGTCCCTGTGCGGAGGGGGACAGGAGCCTGCGGTTGGGAAGGCTGATACAGCGCTGGAAGTGATGGGCGTGAAGCCAGGCGGCGCCGGTGTAGTGCGGCGGCCTAATTGAAGGCACGGGGAACTACTGTTCTTCAGGTAGAGCCAGCATTCGCGTGGCGGATTGGAAACTGGGGAGAAGGCGGGAAGGTACCGCGAACACTGCAGATGCCTGCCAAAGTGGTGTGCGTTTTCAACTCGGAAGACGTCTGAGCAGTTGTAGTTCTGTAAAATTGTTGTTCTGTCGCTTGAATGCTTTAATATATTTATAGTTTTAGTGAACTAAATTGTAGGGAGAGATCATTCGAATTTAGTAAAACCGCAGTTCATTCACCCCTCTGTACCAAGAATTCACTGAAAACAGGAAGCAGATTTCCTAAAGTTGCAAGGAGTATGGGGGCCTAGATTTATTAGACTATTCGATAACTTGCTCAGGGCTAAAGGCCAACTGGAAATTAATTTGGCTTCTGCAATCAAGGATAACAAGAAAAGTTTCTATAGGTATGTCAGTAGCAAAACAAAGTCCAGGGATAGTCTCTATCCTCTACTAGATGCAGGAGGAAATATGGTAACAAGTGATGAGGAGAAGGCTGAGGTGCTTAATGCCTTCTTTGCCTCAGTCTTTAATAGCAAGGTTAGTTGTATTGATGAAATCCAGCCTCCACAGGCAGAATTCAGAGATTGGGAGAACGACCACCCTGCAATCCAGGAAACAGTCAGTGACCTACTGCATCACACAGACAGACACAAGTCTATGGGACTGAATGGGATACACCCGAGAGTGCTGAAGGAGCTGGCTGGGGTGCTCACCAGGCCTCTTTCTATCATTTACCAGCAGTCTTGGCTGCCTGGGCAGGTCCCGACTGACTGGAAATGGGCCAGTGTGACGCCATCTATAAGAAGGGTCGGAAGGATGATCCGGGAAATTACAGGCCTGTCAGCTTGATGTTGGTACCCAGGAAGCTGATGGAGCAGCTCATCTTAAACACCATCATGCAACACATGAGGGACAGCCAGATGCTCAGGCCCAGTCAGCATGGGTTTGTGAAAGGCAGGTCCTGCTTGACAAACCTGATCTCCTTCTATGACAGGGAGACCTGCTTATTGGATGAGGGAAAGGCTGTGGATGTAATTTACCTTGACATTAGCAAGACTTTTGACACTGTTTCCCACAGCATTCTCCTGGCAAAACTGGCTGCTCGAGGTTTGGACAATCACACACTTGGCTGTGTAAAAAACTGGCTGGATGACCGGGCCCAGAGAGTTGTGGTGAACAGAGTTAAATCCAGTTGGCAGACGGTCACGAGTGGTGTCCCCCAGGGCTCAGTTTTGGGGCCACTCCTGTTTAACATCTTTATTGATGATCTGGATGAGGGGATCAAGTGCACCCTCAGTCAGTTTGCAGATGACACCAAATTGGGTGGGAGTGTTGATCTGCTTGATGGTAGGGAGGCTCTGCAGAGAGACCTGGATGGGCTGGAATGATGGGCTGAGGCCAGCTGGAGGAGTTTCAATAAGGCCAAATGCCGGGTGCTGCACTTGAGCCACAACAACCCCCAGCAGCGCTACAGGCTTGGGGAGGACTGGCTGGAGAGCTGCCAGTCAGAGAGGGACCTGAGGGGGTTGATTGACAGCTGGCTGAATGTGAGCCAGCAGTGCGCCCAGGTGTCCAAGAAGACCAATGGCATCGTGGCCTGTGTCAGGATTAGTGTGGCCAGTAGGGACAGGGAGGGGATCTCGCCCCTGTACTTGGCGCTGGTGAGGCTGCACCTTGATTACTGTGTTGTTTTGGGCCCCTCACTACAAAAAGGACATAGAGTTACTCAAACATGTCCAGAGAAGGGCTACAAAGCTGGTGAAGGGTCTGGAACACATGTCCTGTGAGGAGTGGCTGAGGGAACTGGGATTGTTTAGTCTGGAGAAGAGGAGGCTGAGGGAGACCTTATCACCCTCTACAGCTACCTGAAAGGAAGCTGCAGAGAGCTGGGTTTGATCCCCTTTAGCCTAGTAGGACAAGAGGGAAAGGCCTCAATTTGTGCCAGGGAAAGTTTAGACTATATATTAGGAAGTATTTCTTTACAGAATGGGTTGTTAGGCATTGGAATGGACTGCCCAGGGAGGTGGTGGAGTCCCCATCCCTGGCAGTGTTCAAGAGTAGGGTCTATTTAGAGCTTAAGGATATGCTGTAGGTGGGAACTGTGCTAGGCGAACAGTTGAACTAGATGATCTCCAGGGTCCTTTCCAACCTAGATGATTCTGTGTGAATTTATATATGATTAAAATAACACAACTCATAACTGAAGGGAAATATAAGAAAAATTTTGGTGCTTTGAAAGTCAGCCTGTGAACCATATTGTCTGTCATTTTTCTTGGTGTAGATATTTTTTGTGTGATTGAAAACACAAAACTAGGGTGGTGTGGTTTTTTTTTTCTCCCCCCTGTTCTTTGCAAACTCCATATCAGATAAGATCAGATAAGAAAATTACCACTTATAAAATTCATGGTCACACTTGATTGCAGGTTAGAGACTTCCTACTGCTACTCTATTGTCTTTGTATTTTAACAGGAGATTGTTAGCTACCCCATCACTGGCAAAACACATTGTCATTTAATTCATGGTTTAGGTATTCAGAATAAGTCATGTGTGTACTGACGCACAGGAGCATCAGCTAAGGGGCAAGTAAAGAAATTGCTAATATCCTCATATCACTGTGTGAATTGCAGAAAGCAACTCTGTTTAAAAATAAAAAGTGCTACAGTACTGTTCAGGACATTTTCCACTCCTCATGCCTTGGAAGTTTAGAAACTTTAATTAGGCCTTTAAAATCAGACTGGATACATGCCTATTTTACTTTGAGGACACACAAAACAAGTGGAAAAAATTGTAAAGAGGGGTTTGAGGTCAGGAAAAGGAGTATCTGTTAGGTATATTGTATTTTCCCTTTTTTCCCCACACTTCCATATATCTTTGCAAACGTTTTTGTTGAGTTCAAAATCTGCTTTATGACAGCTTGAAATTACAGATTAATGTACATACAGCTGAATTTTATAAGTCATAAAAGGAATCAATAAGTACAGTATGTTTTTAGTAGATAGTTTTGGGTGCTTATACAGGTATTTCATGAAGTCCTGCACATATTCTTTATGGAGGTCCATTTTCTGTTATGGCTGTTTTCAGCTCTTTGGATGGGAGGGAGCCCAATCTCTCTTTTCATTTGGGTTATTGTGATTTTAACCCCTGAGGAATGTGTGTCTGTTTCCTTGAGTGCAGTGTGCAATCTTGTTCATTTCATTTCTACTCCTCATGAGTTCATGTGTAAAAGTTACTTGAAGAAGACTGTTTTTAACTGCTGTGTGAATCTGGAAGGATTTCAGATCATCACAGAGCTATAGAGGGCTGTAAAACTCTAGTTTGCTTTCTGGGATGGTAATTATGCTTTCTTTCTGGAAATCAAGTAACTAGATAAGGTCTAACTGGTTTGTCCATGTAAACTGAACAGTGTACCTGTTGGGTATGTCTGATAAGTACTTCAGGTTTTCATAGGAAGAGGGTTTCTTTGCCCCTGTCATGTTACTGAATTACACTGTAAGAGGTACTGCTCTTGCAGTGTATGGATTCCTTAACTGACAGGTTGCACTTCAGACAGCTGTGGCTTTTCTCACTCATTAGTACCAGAAAGTGAGCAGTGAAGCTTTAACTATGACAGTGCCAGGGAAATAAACTGAATTTATGGCCTGCCCACTTCCCTCCCCTCTTTCCCCTTACCCTGCTTTCTAGAAGAGAAACATGGATTTCTGCTTTATTCAGCCTGTTTTTTTTCTAAACATATTACAGAGTCACAGAATCATTCAAGCTGGAAATGACCCTTGAGATCATCGAGTCTAACCATCAGCCCTACTCTACAAAGTTCTCCCGTACACCATATCCCCCAGTATCTCATCCAAATGACCCTTAAACACATTCAGGGATGGTGACTCCACCACCTCCCTGGGCAATCTATTCCACTGTCTGACCACTCTTTCGGTGAGAAATTTTTTCCTAATGTCATTTAAACCTCCCCTGTTGGAGTTTAAAGCCATTCCCTCTTGTTCTGTCACTAATTATCTTTGAGACCAGCACCAACCTCGTCCTTTCATGGAGTTGTAGAGAGTGATGAGGTCTCCCCTTAGCCTTCTCTTCCTCAAACTAAACAGTCCCAGCTCCTCATAGGATTTGTTCTCTAGGCCCTTCACCAGCTTCATTTACCACATCCTTCTGATGGGCAGGATTCTGTTTAAATTTTCAGTAACTTGTGTAAAGCACTGAAAGACTAAATGGACACTTAATGATTAACTTAAGCACAGAGTTGCATCATCATCTGCATATCTGGAAAGAAATACTGGGCTCATACTCAGCAGGAGTTAGTGCTCTTAATTTCCATCTAGACAATATCAAGTAATGGATTAAGTCATGCATGGGTCATTTCAGCATTTGAGATGGTCTGTGTTGCTATCTTTCTGCCTCCCAAAACCTTTTCCTGTATCATCTAGTGTATCCTTAATGGGTGAGCACTGTAAGTTGTCTTCAAGTTTTGTACAGTACCTGTGGATTTGGAATATGGTATTGCAATTTTAAGAAGTTTGCTTGATTTCTGTCTGTTTTGTGCTTAGGTGACTGCCAGCTGCAAACAACTTGTTGAATCCAGAAGTGCACCACTGATTTTTGTATTCTTAACTTCACATCTAAACTTGGCTCTTTGAGGGCTTTGATTTGGAATTCTGCAAGGCCCTGCGAGCATACTCTGCCTGCACCTATCACAGTTCTAAAATATGCCGTGGAAAAACCTAGTCTACTATTCTGCAGTGCTTGGAATCAGTGACTTCATGAGCCAGAGAAACTGTTCCAAAGATGGACCCACATCTTCCACCAACCCTGAAGTGACCCATGATCCTTGCAATTACAGTGGCCACACAGAAGCCAGAGAACATCAGGCAGTGGAGAATACTACTACTACTTACCTGTTTTGTGGGTTGTTTGGTGATCCTCATCTGAAGACTTTTAAGGATCACTTACAGACTTGCAAAGTGGAAGGTGCTTGGCCTCTTATAGACAGTAAGTACTTATCAGTGCAGGTGACTAATGTGCCTGTGGTCCCAGGATCCAGCACTACTGCTACAAATAAGGTGTAGATTGTTCTTAAGCACTGTGCATACATACAAAAGTAAAAGGTCAAGACAGTAGACCAAGTCACTTAGCTCTTAACAGTTAAGAAGTATAGTACCTTGAGAGTCTTCTATATAGAAGTCTAAAAAGGCTGTGGTGGTTTAAGCCCTGCCAGGACTGGAGACAATGTTGCTGTTGCCCCTCCCCCAGCCTCAGATGGTCAGGCTGGAAGTGAGGCACAAACCCCGGGTTAAAATAAGAAGAAATTTAATACAACAGTGTGTTAAACAACCTGAACAACAACAGTAGCAATGATAACAACAATAAACAGCAATACCAGTAAGCAAGACAAGAGATAGACAGAGAAATACCGCAAGTGGTTATGAAACAAGCCCGCCATGTGCTCCCCACCACCAAAGCCACAAAGGAAAAAGTTCCCGCGCTCCCATGCCTGGACCTGACTTCAGCATAGTATGAATAACCTGGCTGGAGATCCCTTCCCCCTTCTCTGCTGCGGAAACTTAATCCTATACTAGCTGAATCAGGACAGAAGGTAAAACCCTTAGCCTCTTCTGAGAATCAAACAAAACTTAAAGCAAGTCCTTTTCATCCTTCTGCTGTTACTAGTGTTGGTTTTGTAGGACAAGGTATGGCAGTTTGTGAGGCATTAAGCTGTTTTCTTGTTTGTGAGGCTGCTGGACAACTGTTACAGACATTTCAGTGCCTCTAATGCCTGTCTTGGGGTGGTGGAGAGGAAAGGAAAGATGCATATATACTCAGCAACATCTGTCTGAATGTCTTTAAAGCCTCTGGGGGTCTCTTGGGGGCAACAGAACAGAGAATAAATTCACGAGCATAAGTGGCAGTTTTTTCTCAGACATCGTGATGGGGGTTAAATGATAATGTTGTGCATTTAAACAGGCTTTACTTTTCTGTTTGTTGCCATATAAGCTTTATAATCACACTGTGTGTGGGGAGAACCATTCTTCTTGGGTTGTCTACCTGAGAAAAGGAGGTGGAATGTTTTAGCTACTGTTCCTGTTGATTAAGGATGCTTAACTATGGTCAAGTTCTGGGTAGTCTTGAAATTAATCAATGGTAGATTGATTTCTAGAGTGATTTATGAACAGTGAACTTCTTGCTTAACCACATTCAAGATACGCTTGCTTTCTTGAGTGATCTTGGCTTTCCTTTTGGAAATAATCTAATGCTGAACTGTCTTGTTTTCAGGTTGACTTCCTCTTTATTTCTCTGTTGTGCATGGCATCCACATGCTTTTCCTTTGCATTGTCTCCTCTGATACGAAATAGGAACATGTCATGATAAAACGTCTTGTGGTGCTTCTGTATCACAGCAGCAGGCTGAAGAGGAATTACTGTATTTTGTTTTGTAACACTCCCAGCAGTTCTGGCTTCTGCGAAGTAGGCCCCATCAGTATCACTGAAGCAGTCCCTGAATCTTCCCCAGACAGTTTGTCCTTCTCATCCCCAATATTCATGGAAGAAGCAAAGTGTCTTTTGCACATATACTTCTTGCTCGGGTCCTTGAGCTATGTTGACTTCAGCAAAGTGTACCATAAAAGCATGGGTATATGAAGAGAAATGTGAAGAAATCCTGCTTTGGATGATGCTTAGTGCTGTGTGATGGACTGAACAGTCTTCAGCATTTCTAATGCAACCTTCAATTTTGTTTCATCCCCAAAAAACCTGCTATGCATATCTATATATCTATCAAGTGATGTAATTTGAAATGAGGCTATTGCATCAAAATTTTACAATGAGTCTTTATGGTTTTCTGTTGTTAAATCTCTCCACTTCCACCTTTTGGCTTAGGCTATTTTTCAGGTGGTGACAAATGATGTTTGGTTTCTCAGATACTCACGTGCTTCACAGCTGTTGCAGGCCTCTGTAAAGGGAAGCTGTGACATTTTCAGTTAGTGCTTGGAAGGTTATGTAATGCATTCAAGTTTAAATTTTCCTATATGTATGTATGAATGCTAAAAGGTTTTGAGTGGCATTGCAAGACCCCTGTAGAAATGTCTTGTATGCTATGCAGTTACCTACCTATGAACTTTTAATAGCTGCCTTTCATGGATCACTTGTTCAGTCCTTTGCAGACTTCCCAGGAATATTTGATAGACCACTGGTCTAGTGTCATAAAACCTCCTGCTGAACATCTACTTATTCCCCAGTGCTTGATGAAATCAGTAGTAACTCATCAGGTTTGTGGTTTTGTTTATATATCCTTCACTGTCTTTTCCCAGCGACTGAAGTGGTGTGTAAGGAGAGCATTGGAATGTTTTCTCATGATGCTAGACATGAGGCAGGGCATGCAGTCCTATGCTGAAGGTAAAGCTGAGAAACGTGAATAGCAAGTGTTTTTTCGGCTGCTTTATGCAGACTTAGACATGTCATAGACAGACGCACTGTTGCATCTCATCTGCTTCCCTGATGCTCTCTCTTAGGAAAAGGAATGCTCAGTAGCCAAATCTAATGTCATAGTAAACATTGATGAGACAGTCTTTCAATGTGCATATTCTACTGGTTGGGTATTCTGTTTATAGATACTGGCATATGTACTTGTAATGAGTGTTCCCTGCCTCTCTAGCTTTCCTATTTATGTACCTGAATGCTGACTGTAACCTTTCCAGTACATATATTATGGCCATTTGTGTTTGAGGTAGTAATTGGGGAGGACGGGATGTGTCTCTGAATTTTTTGTAGCACCTTGGGTCTTCATTAGGGTTGGGGTATGTTCTGCATGATTTTGTGGTGATAAAAGCCCATGCCCAAAAGTACAACCCAGTCATGACAAACATCTGGGGAGGAAAATTGACTTGGGAACTATTACAGTAAAATTATGAGTAAAACTAGGCAAGATTAAAATCTGTTCCTAGAATGACAGGAATCTTCTGTCCTGCGTTAAAAAAAACCCCAACCACCAAACCAAAAGAACAACCAACAACCTTCAGATGTTTCCAGTCACTGCCTGTTCAGTAAGTAGTGTCACCTTCTTGCATGTACCTCATATCTGTTTTTTAACATCTGGATGAAGTCTTGATTCTTAGGCAGGTTTCACCTGAGCTCTTTCTTCAGGAATTTTGCCTGTAGTAGAGGTAGAAGACTTGAACGCCTGAAGTTGCATTTCTAGGTACAGGAGTTGGATTTATGTCTTGTGTGGTGGAAGGGCAAGACTGGGTTAAAGATTTTATGAGCAAATTCCTACCCTTGTATAGCCCTTGGGTTATTATCCATTATTGCTTTATCATGTAGGTATCAAGAAGTCCAAGGGCGATCGAAAGAGACTTCAGGGCCTTGGGACAACCAGTTAAGAGATCAGGAGCACAAGTAGTTTTTTATTCTATCCTTTCAGTTGCAGGGAATTATGTTGGAACAAACAGAAGGACCCAGATGATTGATATCTGACTCCGTGACTTGCTGACACAGGAAGTTCTGAACATAACTTATACGACCAATGTGATCAAGTTAATGCCACTTTATTAAATGATACACAGCAATTTATAGACTACTATAAAGTACACGCACAGCTACTTGATTGCTTATAGGCTAAAGCTACTTGTCCACGCACCCTTTTGCCCTCTATGATTGGTCCCGTTGTAGTGTCCATGCGCCGCTCTCCTGCTAGGCAAACATCTTGTTTTAGAGAGTCCAGCTTCCTTATCTTTTTGCTATGTATGCCGTTTCTTAGCCCCTTGGCCTTGCAGGTGTTCTTCACAGCAGCTACAGCCTGTTGTTACAGTGACACCACTCAGTCTGGATTGCTCATAATATGTCTGTTGTTTTCCAGCCATTCCACAGTGACTAGTGTCATCTGTAGAATTGTGGGGTTTTTGAGCACGGGTCAGTCTACATGACACTAGGCCTGCTGGTGACATATGAGGCATAACTTTCGCAAAGAGGGGAAAGGAGCTTTGTGTAAGTTATCAGGGCTCGTTGAAAGAGCTTTAAACTAGATTTGAATGGGGAAAGGGTTAAAACCAGGCCCATTAGTGATAAGCCTGGGGCAGCATGCCAGTCTTTGAGGGACAGTGTACTAGGGAGGCCCTTCAGTCTGTTCCACACTGTGCTGAGCACACTGGAGCATGTTTGAGCTGTTTCTATATTAATGTACACAGCATCTTAGCCATCTCAGTGGGGGTAGGGGTTGGAGATCCACGTGGCAGCAAAGACATAAGGGTTTTTGATGTGTTAAAAACCATGGAATCACCTGAGAGCAGTCATGTAAGAATTAGGAATTCTCCTCAGTAAAAGGAGGAAGGATCAACAGCCCAACTGAAGTGCATCTACGCCAGTGCAGGCAGCATAGACAACAAACAGGAGTTGGAAGCCATTGTGTAGCTGGAGGACTATTATATAATTGTAATCATGGAAACATGGTGAGATGACTTTCACAGTCAGAGTGCTACAATGCATGGCAGCAAGTTCTTCAGAAGAGTTAGGCAAGGCGTATGTTATGGAGTGTTTTGACTGTCTAGAGCTTGATGATGGTGATGAAAGTGTTGAGTGTTTATGGGTAAGAATTGGGAAAGGCCAGCAAGGCAGATATCATGGTGGGAGTCTATTATAGACCACCCAACCAGGATGAAGAGACAGATGAAGTATTCTATAAGCACCTGGGAGAAGTCCCATGATTGCTAGCTCTTGTTCTCATGGAGGACTTCAACTTAGCTGATGTCTGCTAGAAATACAATACAGTGGAGAGGAAGCACTCCAGGAGGTTCTGGAGTGTGTGGAAGATACTTCCTAACACAGTTGGTGAGTGAGGTAACTAGAGAAGGTCACCCCTGGAACCTGTTTTTTGCAAACAGAGAAAGGCTTGTGGGTGATGTGATGGTTGAAGGCTGTCCTGGGCACAACGATCATGAAAGATAAGAGTTTCTGATTCTCAGAGAAGTAAGGAGTGGGGTCAGCAGAACTGCTATCTTGGACTTCCCTTGGAAGGCAGTCCTGAAGGGCTAAGGAGTCCAGGAAGGCTGAACATTTTTCATGAAGGAAATCTTAAAGGCACATGAGCAGGCTGTCCTTACATGCTAAAAGA